TTAACCTAACATCCAAAACGGTGGGGATCCTCTCCAATATACGATACTACGTCCGCAAACTGCCCTTTCACATTATACCATTCACTTATATATCCATACCTCCCCTTTATGCTACCTGTGCTTGGGGTTAAAACTGCAGCAACACACCTAAAGCCAATAATAACCCAACAAAAAGCCGCAGTAAGAATAATCACTAAATCCCATCCCTGGCAACACCCCCCCCCCTCTTCATAGATCTAAACTTACTCCCTGTTCAGAACATCCACACTTACTACTGTGCAATCTATATCTACAGGACCTTAAATTCCAATATTAACCTTGACCTAAAACGCTTTCTTGATAGTTGTAACAGGATCCACAGGCATAACACTAGACACAAACATCTCTATGACATTCCCCGTGTTCAATTCAATTCAATTCAAAGTTTATTCTCTATAAGGATTACAATGCTGAGTTTACAGAAATTTGGTTATTGTTTGGTTTACATGTAGAAAAATTGTGATTACAGAGTGTACCACTAGAACGCTTAGCATGGCTAGGCTTTTCGGGCATACTTAGTTTTATTCTTAATTGTAAAATATTACAAATTATGAGGTAAGTTGGGTATTATGGCTAAGGGGACTAAATACTAGTTTGTGAGTTTAGCAATGTAAAATGCTTTTGTTTTGGCACGTACATAGTTTCAGTATTGGAGTATCACAGGATTCATTTTTTTAAGACTGAGATTAATATTTTGTTTATGGTCAAATGAGTGAGGGGATTTTAAGTGGTAAACCCACCAGGTGGTATTCGTGTAGTTAGTTGACGGGGTGTTTTCAGGGAGATAAGATGTTTTCAAATGGTAGTTTTGAAGGGTTTGATGAATGTGTCTGCAGTTCTAGAGTTCTCAGGTAGGGTATTCCAGATTTTAGGGCCTTTGCATACATTGAATTTTTGTAAAAGGGTTTTGTGGGACACGGGGAATGTCGTAGAGATGTTTTTGTCTGGTGTTATGCCTGTGGGTTCTGTCCAACACTATCAAGAAAGCGTTTTAGGTCAAGGTTGATATTAGAGTTTAAGGCCCTGTAGATGTAGATTGCACAGTAGTAAGTGTGGATGTACTGAACTGGGAGTAAGTTAGATCTATGAAGAGTGGGGGGGTGTGTTGCCAGGATGGGATTTAGTGATTATTCTTACTGCAGCTTTTTGTTGGGTTATTATTGGCTTTAGGTGTGTTGCTGCAGTTGATCCCCAAGCACAAATAGCATAGGTGAGGTATGGATAAATAAGTGAGTGGTATAGTGTGAGAAGGGCATTTTGCGGCACGTTAGTATCTTATCTTGGAGAGGATCCCAACCGTTTTGGATACTTTTTTGGCTATATGCTGGATATGGGTGCTGAAATTCAGGTTGTTGTCAAGGTATAAGCCTAGGAATTTTCCCCCATTATTTCTTGTAATTAGAGTGTTGTCAATCTTAATGTTAATTTGTGCATCTCCTGCTCTGCTACCAAACATAATATAGTAGGTTTTGTCAGTGTTAAGCGTAAGTTTATTGGCTGTCATCCAAGTCGATATTTTAATCAGCTCCTCATTCACAATGGTGTTGAGGGTGGCAAGATTAGGGTGAGAGATGACATAAGTCGTGTCATCAGCAAAAGAGAATGGGTTTCAGGTGTTGGGATACGTTTGGAAGGTCATTGATGTATATGAGGAAGAGCAGGGGACCAAGGACACTTCCCTGTGGCCCAGTGGTCTGGTGGCTAAAGCTCCCGCTTCACACACGGAGGGCCCGGGTTCGATTCCCGGCGGGTGGAAACATTTCGACACGTTTCCTTACACATATTGTCCTGTTCACCTAGCAGCAAATAGGTACCTGGGTGTTAGTCGACTGGTGTGGGTCGCATCCTGGGGGACAAGATTAAGGACCCCAATGGAAATAAGTTAGACAGTCCTCGATGACGCACTGACTTTCTTGGGTTATCCTGGGTGGCTAACCCTCCGGGGTTAAAAATCCGAACGAAATCTTATCTTATCTTATCTTATCTTACCCTGCGGAACTCCAGTATCAAGTGGCCGTGTTGCTGATGCTGTGTCTTTAATGGTGACGTACTGATACCTATTAGTAATGCAAGATTTGAAATAAGCAGCGCATGGCCTCTTATACCGTAGTGATCAGATTGTGGAGTAGGATGTCGTGGTCTACTGTGTCAAAAGCTTTTCTTAGGTCAATTAAAAATTCCTAGTGGATATTCTTATTTCAATGCTGTGTAAAGCAGATCTAGCATTTTTATGATTTGCATCATTAGTGCTTTTATTTTGCTGAATCCAAACTGGCTGGGAGTGAGTATGTTATGAGCCGTTATAAATGAATACAGTCTCCTGTGCACGAGTTTCTCAAAGTTTTGGATAGCAATGGTAAGTTAGGATATTGGCCTATAGTAGTTTAAGTCTGTTGGGTCACCACCTTTATGTTGGTGTTCGACTAAAACTTTACAAAAATTCAATGTATTTTCAAAAGGGACCTAATCTGGAATACCCTACCTGAAAACTCAGAACTGCTGACACATTCTCACTTTCTAAAACTACAGTTAGAAAACATCTTATCTCCCTGTTCCACCCCGGACAAACTAACTACATGATAACCACTGGTGGTTCACATTACATTCACTCACCCAACTGTCTTTAAAACACCAGAAAATACTAAATCTAATCGTTAAAATAATAAATTCCTAACTAGTCATAAGTTTGCCTATGTTACTCCAATATAGGTACACCTGTATTGTATCCAAAACAAAAACATTCACATTGCTAAACTCACAAATTATGATGTAGTCACTTAGCCTTAATACCATAATCTGTAAGGATTTAATGTTAAGAATTAATCTAAGTCTGCTCGAAATGCCTAGCCATGCTAGGTGTCCTAGTGGCCCCCTCTGTAATTAGTATTTTATAACATGTAAACCACAGAATACCTGGTGGCCTGGTGGCTAAAGTTCCCGCCTCACACACGGAGGGCCCGGGTTCGATTATTATCATGGAGAGCGCTAAACCCGTAAATTATTTTTTTATTTCTTTGCATAATATACAATGTGTGATTTACATGTTATAAAATACTGTTAAGTACAAAGAAAGCCACTACATGCGGAGGAATTTTTGGGCAGACTAATATTTATTTTTTTTGATTAACACTACTTCCAAACTAGGACAGAGCCTGTGTTGGGGGGGGGGGTTATGGTAGGATATTCAAGCTTAAATAGGGATTGGAGCAGAGATCAATTTTAGATTCAAGACCCCCCCCCGAGCCTTAACCCTTATATCTTACTTTTATATAATTTAACATACCGCACAGTATCAGGAACATCCCTTGTGAAATCTACAAATTATTAAAGCCTCCGTAGAGGATGCACGTTCTTCATTGCGGTAGGGGATACCATGTTACTACCTCTTTCGTTTCCAGGATATATTTTCATAAGAGTAGACAGCTTGGTGTGTAGTAACCTTTCAAAGCAGCGTCGACAAATACCAGACAACAAGTTTAATCTGGATCACAGATTGTGTCCATCTAACACAGTGTTACACAGCTCGTGTTGTCACCAGGTGACGAACACGTCTCTGTCACCTTTCTTCTAGTATGTGGATGTCTTCCTGTGTAATAAGCATTAGTGATGACTTCTATAATACTCTGGAATACCTGTTTCTCCCCCCTCGATATATTTATTGCAACGTCCAACATTACCTCAGCTTGGGTTTCGGATTTTTGTACGGCTTTTACGAGGATCCGGTCACTAACTCAAGGAAGTGTGGCTGTCTCGTAATTGACTGTCTGCGGATTTTTATAGAATTGATTCAGCTTTTAAAAATGTTTGACTTAAATTGTTCACTTTCCTTTTCTCTCAGATTTTGCTCCTATTTCGTCGCCGATCACCGGGAAGTAGGAGTCAATACGTCTCAGGTGGTAGTGGCCATTAAGGTGAACAATAACAACACTAGACGATGAATTTTACTACCTGAACTTAACTCAGTAATATACACTTGACGGCGCTTCATTTCTGGCCTTAGTAAGATTATTTATGTACAGGTCCACATGAGTACAATTATCATACATAATAACGTGTAAATTACCTAGGATAATCCAGAAAAAAAGTCAGAGTGACTTCTTTCCATTGTGGTTTTTGGTAATACTTGGCAGGAGAAAAGAACTCAATCATTACATTTTACACTGCATAAAACCTATATACATCACGTAATAACTAAGTATTTCTTGTATAAATTTTTGGCTTATATTCTGTATAGCCCTTGTGGCTTAGCGCTTCTTTTTTATTATAATTGGCTTATATTCAGTGTAGGGGACATTTTAAATTAACCTATTTTTCATTTTTATACAAGCAATCATCCATAGCCCGACAAAATGACGTAGCTTGTGCATTTTGGGGGAAGAGGAGAGGGCATATTAACAACTGTGGCATATTTATGGGAGATAGATTGTATGAGTCAAAATACAGGCATCATGTTAACACTTAAGATTGGTTGAGATTTTTAACCTGGGTCTCCAGGTCTCCATCCAGGGTGCTGTATAATCCTACGGGTTTAGTGCTTCCCCTTTATAATATTTAACTGGGTGGTAGTGAGGGGTCAGCCACCAGATTATCAAGGAGGAAAGTCAGTGTCTCGAGGACTTGTCTGTATTATTTCAATTTGTGATCTTCAATCTGACCCCCAGGATGACCACCCATAGGCAGTCAGTGAACTCCCAGGTTACCAATGACTGCTAGTGAGTGAACAGGGCGGTGGGTGTAAGGAAACATGCTCAACATTTCCACCCATGTCAGGGATCAGACCCCAGACACTCAGTGTGTGAGACAAGAGTGTTGCCAAGCAAGCCATGGGTTACCTAATGGGTTTAGCTTCATAATTAAAAGATGGTATTATCTTGTAGGTTTGCTCAGGTTACATTTTCAATTCTCCAGTCAAATTTACACAAAGCACTATTTTTTTTCACTTGGCACAAATTTAAACTACAGATGCAGATACAGATATAATGCCGAAAAAAATCCCCCCAGTACCAATAATACTACAGTTCGTAATTTCTTCTTTGCAAATATAAGGCGTTCATAAAGCCAGCAACAAACAACAAAATACCTTTCATCCGTGATGCATGCAGAGCAACGGCAATGTTCGCGGGCTATTCACAGAGACACACATAAAGGATCCACTTGGACAACGAAATATGGATCCCAGGTTACAACCTATACAGATGCGACCTGAGTGAACAGCAAAAGGGGGGGGGGGGGTTGCTTGTACATTGGCAGAGTCACTTGTATGCACAGAACTGCTTAATGCTCAAATGATGTAGTGGGAAAAGTTTTGCAGTAACGGTCGAGAACCAAAACCTAGTCCCCCCCCCCTTGTGGTAGTCTACAAGGCTCGGATGCAACTCCCAGCAATTCAGGCAACAGCTGTTAAAATTGACACTGGCTGGAAATTCTTCAGCTTCTACACCCATATCTGCTCCTGGGGGATTTCAACTTAAGGGCACCTAAAATGAGGAATATAGCAAATAATATTGTTGCAGTCATAACACCAGGAGGCAGCTCTGATGAAAATCACATCACACAAGCTTTTAAATATCTGCACAAAATTAATTTAAATCAGCAAATAATAGAGCCTACTAGATGGAAGATAACACTAGACTCATCTTTCACTAACATTGATTATCTGATGAGGATGTCACCATATCAAAAACAATTATACTCAGATCAAATAATTGAGGTTCAGACATGTATGCGTGGAGCCCCAGCGACATAATGAGACTAGTCACGTGGAGCATTCACCAAATTCAATTCAATAACAAACACATAAAGTGGGGATCAAGTAAACCAAGTCTAACCGATATAAGCGGGATGATATTACTAAGCAACACAGACCCAATTTATGCCTAGACAAGGTTAACTGGTGGCACTCGAGTATGGACAAGGCTTATTCCTCTAAGAAAAAGGAGGAGTAGATGTAAATAGGATAGGAGAAGGCGCTCCCTTTACAGGCGACGGAAAAGAATACAGAGCGCTAAAAAAGAGTCAATATATCTGAAATGCATAGGGCGGAACATGGTCAGAGAAAATAGCAAGCATTGAACTTACGGCTAAAAGAGGAATCTTATAGGAGTCAGGAATCGTGGGAAGAACATAACTCAAGCATCGTATTTTGATATCAATGCTAGATCTATCGAACACGTATAACGCACTAATCCAATAATCTGATAACTTCACCCACCATGTGCCCATAATAGAATCAAAACTTCGACGACCCCACAGAATGAGCCCCACGCGCGACACCCAGCCAACACCACCGCCCTCACCCCCCAGTTTTTGGGCACCCTACTTAAAACTAGATGGGTCCTACACTGATGACCAGCAAAGGATATGAGTGAGCTACTCAAGTTCCCTATATGACTCAGTGTTTAGCAAGCGCTAACCAGACTGAGAGGCGAGATCAAAATTATTCGTTTATGACGAGAGCCACAATATTAGGTTAACATAGCTATCGATGTTATCCTGACGCCCAATATGACTTCGAACAGGCGATAAATGACATGCCCATGCACTCTGCCCCAGGGCCAGACTCATGGAACTCCCGGTTTGTTCATCAGAACTGCAAGTAGCCCTATCACTGAGCCTTTTCCATCCTATAGGGAAGAGGGGTAGCATGGACATGGGGGTCGTCTCACAGTTACTAAAAACCAACAGACATAGCCACACTGCACAAAGGGGGCAGTAAAAGCAACAGCAAGAACTACAGACCGATAGCACTAACATCCATATCATAAAAATCTTTGAAAGGGTCCTAAGAGCAAGATCACCCACCCATCTAGAAACCATCAGTTAACAACCCAGGGGCAACATGAAGGTTTAGAACAGGTTGCTTCCTGTCTGTCTCAACTATGGACAATACGACAAGGTCCTTAATGCACTAGAAAGACAAAAAGAATGCAGATGTAATATATACAGATCTTTGAAAAGCCTTCGAACAAGTGTTGACAATGGCGTAATGCGCACAAAATGCGGTGCTAAGTATAACAGAAAGTTCGGTCGATGGAACTAAAATTTCTCACTAACAGAAACAGGCGTAGTCGTAACAGAGGTTTAAATCCGGGCAGTAACGGTGAAAAGCTTCTGTTTCCACAAGGCACAGTACTCGCTCCCATCTTTGGTCCTCATCCTCATATCCGACATAGACAAGGATGTCTGCCACAGGGCACCGTGTTTCCTTTGCAGAGCACCGAATCTGCATGACAGTGTCTTCCCATTGCAGACACTGCAAGGCCTCCAGTTGGCCATCACCCAAAATCTTTTTCAGTGGGCTGCAGAAAACAATATTGAAGTTCAACTATGAGAATTTCAATTACTCAGATATGTAAACCGAGGAAAAGTAAATCTTCATCAGAGTACAAAACAAATTTGGCCACAAAATAGGGAGCGACACACCAAACGTCTAAGACTGGGAGTGGATCATGTCAGAGGATCTCATCTTCAAGGACCATAATAATTGTTCAATCGATTCTGCTAGAAAAAATGACAGGATGGTAATGAGAACTTCAAAAAGGGGATGCCAAGCCCATGATGACTCTTCAGGTCACTTGTTCTAATCTAGGCTGGAATATTGTGCACCACTTAACAAGCACCTTTCAGGCAGGTGAAATTGCTGACCTAGAAAATGTACAGAGAACCTTCACGGCGCGCATAACGGAGATAAAACACCTCATTACTGGAGCGCTTGAGGTTCCTAAACCTGTATTCCCTGGAATGCAGGCGGGAGAGATTACATGATTATATACACCTGGAAAATCCTAGAGGGACTAGTACCGAACTTGCACACGAAAATCACTCACTACGAAAGCAAACGACTTGGCAGACGATGCAACATCCCCCCAATGAAAAGCAGGGGTGTCACTAGCACGTTAAGAGACCATACAATAAGTGTCAGGGGCCCGTGACTGTTCAACTGCCTCCCAGCATACATAAGGGGGATTACCAACAGACCCCTGGCAGTCTTCAAGCTGGCACTGGACAAGCACCTAAAGTCGGTTCCTGACCAGCCGGGCTGTGGCTCGTACGTTGGTTTGCGTGCAGCCAGCAGCAACAGCCTGGTTGATCAGGCTCTGATCCACCAGGAGGCCTGGTCACAGACCGGGCCGCGGGGGCGTTGACCCCCGGAACTCTCTCCAGGTAAACTCCAGGTAAACTCCAGTATCTCCATTGCAAAAACAAAAACTTGATGAAGCTCCTTAACTCAATATTTACCAATTGTTATTTTGGGAGATATGAATGAAAAATAGTGCATTTAATTTGGTTGTGCAGCACTTCTTAGCCAATTATTGCCTAATATTGGGTATGTCGTGCACCTCATCAAACTCAAACTCCACTATCAAAGGCACATATGTACTGTTATGGCATTTATTAAAGGAATCGAGTTGCTACATATGACTTGTTCACTCCTAATACCGTGACAGCTAAAGTAACAGATTTATATATGGTGAAATTGGGAACAGGTGAAATGGGGGTAGAGAAGTGAGCATTTGGTGTGCTAGTTGGTACCACATAATGGTGAAGTCCAGGTTATAAATAATAATGTCTTTATTTCTACAAGTACATATACGAGGTATACAGGTCTTGCTGACATCAATGACATACTACTGTATAGAAAGCCATCTCTTATGTAGAGCATTTTGGGCAAATTAGGTCAGTTTTGTCCCAGGGTGCAACCCACACCAGTCGACTAACACCTAGGTACCCATTTTTACTGATGGGCAACATAGACATCAGGTGTTTTTATGGAAACATGTCCTGATGTTATCCAGCCATACTGGGGATTTGAACTCCAGACCTCAGTGTGTGAGCTGAGTGCGCTAGTGATCGAGCTATGGGACAGTTGCTTGCCAAATACTACTTGGAGATGCTGAGGCTGTCTGATTTTTGTGGGATGGCATTTGAGACTGATATTACGGCACTTCCAAGCATTTTCATCTGCATAGATTACTCACGTATAACTAGCTTAGCCTCAT